TCCTATAGTTTAAGTAAGGAATTAACATTATCCATAAAATTTTTATTACTATTCAAATATATGAGCACATGGTAATGTAGTCTTGTATTTTAAGACTATTATAAGTTATATATAAATCTCTTTAAGAAACAGGGATAATCATTATGTCTAAAGGTATTTTCTTCTGTCTAAAGTTTTTTTTTTTGGTTTTAAATTGCTTCTGTAATTTTTCAAAGAAATATTGTTATACGCTAACCATGAACATTTTAAGTTGTCATCAACACAGATTTATCAAATATTTCAATAAAACTAAGCTTTATTGGACTTATGCAAAGAACTACACAATTTCAAATACAGATATCATTGGACTAAATCAATATTTTTGAAATTAACAAAAATTTCAGGTTACTACTGATCCAGGACGATATGAAGCCAAATTAACTACATAGATTTGGTTAAACTAAAAAGATTACTATAAAGTTTATATAAGAATGCTACTAATATTCAAAGTTCTATTATGTTAACTGCAGAATCTCTTATAAATTAAAAGAAAATGTATTACTGAAATAATGAATTAATGAATGATAAGTAAGAAAAAATAGTTCTTCAAAAGTAAATGGCCCTCAATGTCCTTACTCTGCACAAAAAAAAAGCAGCTTTGTCATTACATAGAAAGACGACCCTCAACAAGATGGAATGACACAGTGACTGCAACAATGGGCTCAAGCATAACAACGATCATGAGGATGGTGCAGGACCAGGCAGTGTTTCATTCTGTTGTACACAGGGTTGTTATGAGACAGAAATGGCTCGACAGCACCTAACAACAAGAACAATGTCATTACTAAAACTGATTGCTGAGGCTGAATCTTAACAATGCTGTTTCTTCCTTAACTGATTTTATAAATAGTTTTCCTTTTAAAGTTTATTGCCATTACTTTAAAATCTTTCTTAGTTTCTATTATTATAAAATGCTATAACAGTCATACTTAATTTTACTTCAAAAAAGTATCCTTCACAGGTCAAAGACGCATTTGACACTCAAAAACCAAGTATATCTGAATTACCTTCTATTTAGTTTGGAGCCTATACTTATTAAAAAAGAACAAATCTTTTTTT